CCAGTAACAAGGTGTCTCCTTCTTCCTGATGTAAAGTGATATTTCACCATCTTCCAGTTTTCAAAATAGTCATGGCAATAAACTTGTACAGTTTATAACTGAGCAAGAAGAATAAATATGTCCCCAAAAATTATTATCTTCCCTAATCTTCCAGCAGAAGGTAGTGCTGGAAAAGCTATGAACAGTTGGTTGTGACCATCTTCTGTAATTAGACACGGGAAGAGTTGATAGAAGTGGAACTTTCCTCCCCACAATGACCTGAGGCTTGTCCTGGAGGCCAGGGTATCATAAACTGAGCAGTACAGGTCAGTAGATTTAAAACTTCTTTCTCAAAACACGAATAAAAAAACCCTGAACCTGTTACAGAGCATGTAATAGACACACCCAGATCTGAGGAGTTGCATACACATTTACTAAAATTTTGCCTTCCTGCCACTGAGGCTTTCAGTGCCCGTGGGACGGTGCCCTCAGAACAACTCACCTGAGTTTTTATATTCTGACCACCTTGCTTGTGATCAGAATATAAAAAAGGTGAATTGTTTGAATTGGAGACCAGCTGGAAAAAGGGTGCACATCTGTGACCTGTTAGCTACATCAGTAACTACCAGGGAACAGATTGTTCTGACCAGCCCAGACCTTGTGTGAAGGAAGAAGTTAGAACTTCATCCTCCTCCAGAGCCTGATGAGCTCAGTTATGCTAAAACATGCCAACCTTCTTTCTAGGTCCGTGGTGCTCTCTGCAGAGTCTATCTTGAGGCTTTTGGTTGAGCAGAGATCTGTGTTCCTAGATCTCTTTGATCCCTTGGACTCTTTGTGTGGCTGTGGACTTGAGGCTGCAAATCATGAAAGCACCAAAGAATTGCCAACACCCAAACCCATGTCTTCTGCAGGGATGCTGAACTCCTGTAACCCTTTACTGCTCTCTCGTTGTTGCTCCATGTTTCTTGAAACAGCTGCTGTGCAGATTAGGTTTTCTTGCTGAAGGCCTTGCTAAAAACCCTTGCTCTTGGGTTACTCTTGGGAGACAAACTGGCTTGAGAATTGTCCCGAGTAGTATTTTCTCATTTGCTTTGTTCCCAGTAAGTGTTCGCTTTCAGTATCACTGAAATAACACTCAGTTTAGCTTAATTTGAAAAGCACAGCACACAGATGTATTTTGTTTTTTAATTACTGGCACTTTTCAATAATAGGGGGTTGTGAAAACCTGGTTCTTTTCAGAATTGAGTTGAAAGGCTGTTTAATCTATGAGAGCAAACTGTGTAGGGAAGCTGCCTGCCCTTAGCAAGCAGAGGACAATGGAGTGCTTTGTTATAGGGATGTGGTTCCTCTTCAAGCTTTGTGTAGAGAACTGGTGTGTCAGAATGACCACAATATTTTTATTTTTTTTTATCAAGGAATTGTATAATGAAAACAACTGGATTTACCTCTTGAGACAATTACTCTTGCCAGAACAAGAACTTGAACAGGTCCTAACTGAGTTTTTTAACAGCACAAATGTAGAGCCTTCACCTGAAGACAGATCTAAATTCCTTTGCTGCTTCTCTTCTTTGTTTCAAAGTCACAAACTAAATTGAGCTGGTACCTCAGGACATGTTTAAAGTCTGTCTTTGCGTGACTTTGTGACATCAGACGTTCCATTCAGCCAACTGCCAAACTTCAGCAAGGAAAAGGGACAGGGTGAAACCCTGCATCTTTCATTAGACAAAAAGTGCCCATTTCCAGAGCCTGACACAAAAGTTTGTAGCAGCATAAATGAATTGCAACTTAAAGGCCATGACATAATTGAGATAAAGATTGTGGCAGAGAAATGAGAATTAAGTGCTAAAAACACTGGGAATGATAGCAAATGCTGATGGGAGCAGAAGATTGACAAGATAATGTGAGGGGCAGTGAAAAAACGTGCTGAATACAGACAAAAGAGTAATGCTAATGGCGGCATATGTAAAGTGAACAAGAGGTTTCTCCTTGGCCTGTTGTCAATCTCTTGACTTGACCTTTGGAGCTCTCACACCACAGTGGAGAGAGCAGAAACAGGCTTGACATCTTCCTCTGAGTTTGCCCAAGAAAAATCTGTAAGCTGCTGCTGTTTTCCAAGTTCAAACTGAAGGGCAGAGGGACTAAGCTGACTGTTCAGCTGCATGGTGGCTGGATCAGGAGAATGAGGGAGAAGAGAACCCTGGGCACGTTCACTGAAGCTGCAACATTGCTTCCACCTACTCAGCACCTTTTTGTACCTGAAGGTTGAGTAATACTCAATGGAAAATGGCCTCCCTGAGATAATAGGTCATTCTAGGAGTGGTAAAACACATTTAATTCTGTTCCTGCTTCTCTGATGATGAAATTTCCTGAAGCAGAGATCAAAAAGCCTTGGAACAAAGAGCCAACTGGCTTAAATTTCTGTGTGAGGTGATAATGGGTACAGAGAATGTGTTGGATACAAACATGGTGCTTTGGATATCCGGCAACTGCAGTATACAAGGGTCTTGGGTTTATTTTCATAGCATGGATCTCTATGTTCTTGGCACTAGCTGCTCAACTTCTCTCTGCTAGCTACAGCAATTGCCCAAGTACTGGCGTTTTTTTAGAAAAGCAATATTTGATACAATTTTAGCTTCTTGTTTTACTTTAATCAGTAAGTGAGCAAAGATCCAGCACCATTTTAAATCCCAGTTTTCAGCATGGCTAAGTGTTCAGTTGCCCATATATGAGAACAGTTGTTGGCATCTTGTTGCCATGTCATTTCTTAAACCAATATGGTACTTGTGGGAGGCAGATTGCAGAACATGAGCTCTGAAATGTAGCATTGCAAAAACCATCCTTACTTTCACAATTGACTCAAAATCCAAGGAAAGCGTTTTTTCTTTTTTTGGAGGAACACCCAGCTGCAAAACCTCATTGGCTAAAGATGCTAACACCAATAGATTCTCTCTTCTGTGCTTGTCACTATAGTGTAACTTTTCAGTCCATTACCTTCTGCCTTGGCCTTATTCTGGCAAACTCCTTTTAGCCCACAGAAGCAGAGCGTTTAATAACTTCTCTCTCAGAAAGCAGCCAAACAAGAATAAATGCTGCAGAACGAGTCTCTTACCCTCATTTCCTAAACCATGCAGGTCTGAACCTGTGGCAAGATTGCCTTGTTATATAACCTCCTGCAGCAGAGGCTGCAAACCTCACAAAAACCAGACCAAAAGTGAAATCACCCACATTCCCTGCAGCTCAGGCTGGGGGAGATCATACCAGCACAGCCAGACTATAAAGCAGAACAATCCAGTTGCTCAGAGAGGGTTCAAGCCAGCAAAGAGCTGAGGTAAGCAGCTCCTTTCATCACTGGAGTGGATACAGGCTCTCAGCACACCTTTCCCCATTATGCTTTTTAGATATTCCATGGATTGATGTTTCTCAGTTCTATTAAATAGTTTTTATTTCCATGCCATTTGAGTGATGCTTGTATTTTTTAAATTTTGAATTCCAATGAATACTTGTTGTTTCTTTCTGTTGAAATTGTAAGTTTCTTTGAGCTATGTTCTAGTTAAATACATTAACTCCAGCTCACCAGAAGCTTAGCTTGGATTTTAGTTGTGGAGACACCTGGACCCTCGCTTGCATCCTAGAGTGTCTTGTGCAACAGTAACACAGTAAAGAAGAGGTATTTCATAACACTAGGAATACAAGGGTGACTCCTATAAGTTTGGTCCGAACTGGGGTAGTGAACTCCAAGTGGGCCTTGGAAGCACTGGCTGCGCTGCCAGAAAGTGACTGATCAGCCCCCTGTTTTACAACATGCTGCTCATTTCTGAGAGATTTTGCCAGTAACAAATTTATCAAATCCAGATGCCTTGGGCTGAAGACGAAGCTTTCTCTGTATGAAAGCCTCAAAGTTGCCTTAATGCTAATCCTGTAGAAATCAAGGGGATTTGGGACACTTCACTAAATATGTTTTGCTGCAGGCTGTTGCTTCTGGCTTGTGCAGGCTGCCTGTGGCTTGTACCCTAATTAGCATGTTTGGGATTTCTTTTTAACTCCCTCTCAGCCACACAGGCTGTTATGGGAAAAGGCTAAACTGACTAGAGGAGGCAAGGGTTCTTTTTTCCAAGGTGGAGGTTGATGTTGTCCTGCCATATGTCCTGCACATGGTGTTCTGCATTATGGGCAAAAGCCAAGAGAAGCCTAGAGGCGGGCCCTACATTTACACCACTAGAAAATGTAAATCCCCTCTGGGGAGTGGTGGGAAGGAGAGGCCTTTAACAGAAAAGCCATTCAGCATAAGCCACATTCTAATTCTGCTTCTAAAGGAGAAGCTAAACTAATCACAGAGCAGAACTAATCTCTCTTTCAAGTCAGTCATTTCATGGGGCTTGTGCTGAACTCAAAGCAAGGCAGGGGAGCCAAGGGGAGGCTTCTATTAGGCTGCAGACACAGCAGGAGCTGCCCAAGTGTGGATCCCCATTCCATGGACACTCAAAGGATAGCAATCACCTCAGCCTTCACAGTAACTCCACTGGGTTAACTCCACGTCCAAACTCACTTTACTGTTCACCATATGGCAGAGAAGTGAAAGTTGGTGTGAGGTGGAGTCTGCCACCTTTACCTGTCTGCTTTAGCCTCGGAGGAGGAGCTGGGTCAGTGGAGCCCAGAGACCAGTGGGACTCACCTGCAGCCCAAGGAGACACCTGCTGGGCAGGAACAGCTGGGAGTGCTTGACAAACCAAAAGTGTTTGCACTGAAGTACATGTACACTGAAATACTGCACAGAGATACAGCTTGGTTTAAAACACACTTTTAAAAAAAGCTTTATTCTAAACAGCTGATTATCCTGTCAAGGGTTTAAATCAGATTATTCAATGCTGTCACAAAGTTTCTAATGAGGAAATGCACGGGTCAGAGCCTACATGTGGGGAAGGACCTGTTGTGTGGTGCTGAGAGGGTGTCCAGAGGGAACCTCCCACTGCATCAATGCACTAAGAGATATGTTCAAAGAGACCAGTCACAAACCAAGGATATGGACTTACACAATATATTTGGCCAATTCTAAACAAACAAAATATTTAAGACCATAGAGATTTCTATGCTAGTTTTAAATTGTTTTCAATTAATTTTTGTTTATTTCAATGCATTTAAGTAGGGGTCATGTGGAGACAGATAAGAAAGCATTCAAACATTCAATTTATAGCAATAGTTGAATTATGCTTGTATAAATTAATTCTTTAATTAATTAATAATTAATTAATGCTTTAGCAGACCATTAAGTAATTTGTAACAGTTCTGTGTTTTATGGCAGCCTGCATATGGGCAGACTCATTCACTGTCTGATCAAGAGGGAATTCTACATCTGCAAGTGGAGACCACACAAATTAAATATTAGCTCAGACCTTTTAGTAGATATATGTGCTGCTACATAGACTGAATACCCTAAGAAGTGCACAAGACCTCTCTCAGTGGTAAGGAAAGGAACCTTTCAATGAGCCTCCACACAGACATACGTCTCATGAAACTTATAATCATGATTCAGGCACTCTAAAATAGTTTCCTCAAAGCCCCGTGCCACATAGAAGAGAGCAAATATTTAATGAATGGAGAATGTTACATTTCTGTGTAAACAGCACAGCTTGTCTAGTTTTCATCAACATTTTCCTTAAATAAGGCCTTGATCATCTCAGCTGTGATATGCCCATCTGATTTACCAACAGTGTCTTCTCTGTGGCTCTCACTTGACATTTCTTCTGGCTCCTTACAAGTAGGCACAGCTTTTCCAATCACGTACAGCTTTCTCTTCAGAGGTCCCAGTTTTGAGAATACCTTAAGAAGAAAGAATATGTTTCCTTTGCAATTTCATAGGAAAACAATTACTCTTAAAAAAAACCCAAAAAACTCAGCAACTTTTCTTTTTAAAGCAACTGTAGAGATGCTGCCCTGGGGTTGTGTTTGATAATGTCAGTAATAATGGGCTTCTTTTGCAAGCCAACTCATTTTTAGGAGGCTACAGCACTGCTGCCCTCTTACTCTCCTGTGTGTTTTCACAAATACCATCTTCTCTATAAACCAAATTCTAATCTCAAATTCGGCTCTGTGAGAAGAATTAAACTAATCCAATAGCTTGTTCCTGCCAAAGAGAGAGAGGTCCAAGCCCAGCCACGTGCTTTCACCACATCTGCATTGGCTCTGGTCTTCTCAAAACGTGTGAGTCTACTTGGTTGACCAACCCAACAGAAACTAGTTCAGTTGGAGAAAGAAAAGGAAAGCTTTTCTGCTGGGTTAGAGTCCATCAGCTACAGGAAAGGCCAATGTGCACTCTTTTCTCAACCCCACAGTTTGCACCCAGGAACACCTTCATCCTGGCTTTCTACTGAAGGAATATTGATCCTTTAATGCTACTGTGCAACACAGACTCTAAAGGACCAGTCTGTTACCATCCAAGCAAAGTAATCTCTCATGAGGTGACATTCAGAATTCTTTCTAGGGGAATTTCATCCTGATGCTCCATGGGATGGTTCCTAGGACACCATTCAATTGCCAAAACACGTGCCTCATTACATCAGAGATGCTTGAAGGCTTCCAAAACATCCATGTGAGGCTGGTCTGTAGGACACAGAACCTATGCTCTTTTGGCCCAGCATCTGAAAGATATGGAGTGACCTTACTGTCCCAAACAGCACCATCTGAATTGCCCACCAGGCAAAGGACATTGGATGCCATAAAACCACTGGAAATAGGATGGTCCTGACAGTAGCTCATGCTCCACACTGAAAGGTGGTGGTGTCAGTGCACGACCTGATAACTCTAACTCATACCTGGAACTCTTCTTCATCTTCATCCAAGCTGTCCAGAGCTGGAGTGGAAAATTTTTTCCACAGCTTTTCATCACTGTCTTGAGGATTCTCATAATCTGTTTTAGACTGAATCTTTGCAAAGGCACTTCTGAGGCTCTTTCCATCTGTCTTTGCTTTTTAAAGAGAAGAAAAATTAAGTGTATGTGATTGTTAAGTCTTATGGAGGTCAGAATCAGTACTTGATATGAGCATTGCCTGTAATCTTTAATATGGCTTAGCCCGTGCTATGCAAAGAACAGCTTGGTACCATTTTTAATGGGCAAGTCAAGCCAAATGCTCATTTATGTTGGGGCTTTTCATGTGTTTTTTGTTCACAATTTCTGATCAAGACCAAGGGACTGAAATTGATTGGAAGTTAGAACTAATGGATCTCTGGGAGGGGGCAGGGAAAAAAATGAACTTTTTTTAGTTCAACTTAAATCTTGTAGAGCCCTGAATAGTTAAAAAGAATAAGAAAGGCAGCAGAAACAAGTATAAACTTCTACTATACCCATGTTTGTGTATCTATAGGTACATAACTACAAGTTCCTGAAACACAGTTAGTCTACTTATAACTTCCCTAAAGAGATCACATCTGTAGTTGACTAATTCTCAGGATGATAGAAGACTCTGAACATGGACTGCCAAGTTGCAGGTTTGCCTGGGACAGTGCCCCATCTTATTGGAACAAAGCCTTCTCCTCCAAGTAACTACTACAAAAGTCTAGGTTTTCAAATACAGAAATACATCTTTGTCAACATGTTTGCTGGTGCCTGATGGTTTCAAAAGGCACACCTATTGCTGGGACTGATCAGAAATTCAACAAACCTGTTCATGTATCCATAACTGTATGACTTCAATTTTTCTAACATATCTCTTTAATTTTGTATTAAAGAGGTATGTTAGAATCATCTTTCTTCTACTTTTTTCCCCATCCTCTTTCTTCTACTCGCACAAAGATGTAAAAATAAAACTTGTGAAACTTAGGAATCTACAGAGACTGTCCTAAACAGATAAGCCCAGACTCATGCTCCTTCTTGCCTAATGGTATATCCTTTCCTTGGGCACAGCTACCAGAAGACATGGAGATTCAGCCCAAAATTCAGTACCACATACCAAGATTTTCAGTTCAGACTGAGCTCCATGTAGCTTCACCTGCTCTTGGTAGGGATTTAGTTATAATTTAACTCTGGTGTATTGGCTGAACGACTGCAAAGTGCACGTACACTTAAAGTGAAAGCCAAACAGAGTTTAAGAGTGTCCTCTCAGGGACAAGCTATATTGAAATTATGATATGGATCAGTACAGAACTGATTAAGATATGATTTATATCTTCATAAAAGATGGCCAATCCCATAAACTGAATTCCAGGGTAGCTCTAGATGAGTAATTATATTCCACAATCTAAAACCAATTTCAATTTTAAAACTGTATTACAGCTAGATTGTGATTTTGTCTCCTTCTGTAAATTACAATCTATCATGGCTGTGGTGGCTACATTCAAGAGGGAAATAAGGTGTTCACCATGTCAAACAGGTAGTTTGATTAAAAAGCTTCAGAAATAAAAAGTCTGTAAATGTTCAGTAACTTATCAATTCTTATAAGCTGCTGGCATTTGCATTACCTGCATATTCTCTGTTTTCCCTTTTCATTTCATCCTTAGGAAGTTCTTCATGCAAGCCAGATCCCTTTGTAAGAAACAAATGCCTATGGAGTAAAAAGTATAAAGTGAAATCAATAATAAGGGTCTGAATTTTCTCTCTAGTGTCCTGTGCAATGATTTGGGGTGAGGGGGAGGCCACCCTTTCTGAAAGCCACTGCTGCTTAACCACAAAGGCCAAATAGCGCAATGGTTCAAAAATGCAATGGAGGCAGCCAGGTAGCTTAGTGGCTAATAAGCTGCTCTTTTTTATTCTTAGTGCTTTAGTTCAGCTATGTCCATGAGACTAAAAGAAAACAAATGTTATAGTCTCCAGTCAGTCCAAGATTCAGACCACAGCTGGCAGCTCTCACTTCAAAGAAATCCAAAGTTCAGAAAGGAGAGAAAAATTCCAAGGAGACTTGGAACTTTTTGTGCAATGCGGCTAAAATCACTGAGCTGGGGCTGGAAACTGAAGATCGATCTCTCACGTTGTTGCATTGTGTTTTTGATACTATTAGTGTTGACATTTTGTAGCTAAATTAATCTTTCTCTAGGGAAAAAGTTAAATTGTTTCAATACAAAAGAAGCTAATACGACAGACACCTCTGCAGACATTTCTCAAGGTCTCTTCCTTTCTCAGTTGTTAGGTCATTTGTTTCACTCTAGATTGCAAACTCCCATATATTTGCAAATTAATCTTCCCATCCTTTAACATTTTGTGAACAGTAAAGTAAAAATCTATTATTCAGCACTTAGTCTGAAAAGCTTGGGCTGAGACCATCTAATTGCAACACAAAGAAATTATTTCCAAGACTCAGTGATGTAAAGTGAGTGGTGTTAGGTCTTCGTAGATTAATTAAGGACCCAGTTTCTTCCCTGAAATTTGGTACTTGGGAAGTCACAACGTTACTGTCATCTTTCAGTGATACTACCCCCACTTATACTCAGTTAAATCCTGTCTTCCCTCAACTAGGAAACTACCTTGGCTTTGATGTGGGAGAGCGCAAATAGCTCTAGAGGCCGACAAGAGCATTATCTTTAAAACAAAATTAATCACTTTTGAGTCCACAAAATCATTATTTTACCCTGATACTCTTAGATGCTGAAGTTTGATATCAATCAGTTTTGTGACTAAACTGGTATTTTCTTCTTCCAGAAGCTGGACAGCAGCTTTCAAATCACTTTCTTCCTTTCGGTAGATCTTAACCTTTTGATAATTAAGAAAATAATAGAAGAAAGTCTTAGAATTTTGAGAAGCTTTGATAGCAACTACTTTACCAGCACAACTAGAAAAAATGCAGCTGTATCAGCAAGATTGCACATTTTGTGGGGAAACATAGTGACACTTTTTCAGACAAAGGGAAGGTCTCTCTGGTTCTTTCACACCTTTATTAGAACCCTTTTCCTGTCACAGCCCACATGTGTCAATCACAGCCACACATTTGGGCTATGCAACCCTGACAGCACAACCTTCTTGTGTAGTCAAACACGTGACAGGAGCTCTGGATTTTTCTTTCATGCTTTCACATCAGAGCTTTGAGAGAGGAAAAGCTTCTTTGCAGAGGTAAATTCAGGGTCTTGCTCAGCAAGTGTTGTTTTTCTGATTCCTTTTTATACACAAAGCCTTCTTACCCAGAATTAGTGAAGTTTTCAGTCCAAGTTACCACAACATTTCTTCACTCAGAGTGTGGTTGGGCACTGGAACAGGATCCCCAGGAAAATGGTCACAGCCCCAAGGCTGACAGCTCAAGGAGCATTTGGACAACGCTCTCAGGCACATGTTGGGGCTTTGCAGGACCAGGAGTTGGACTCAATGATCCTTGTGGGCCCCTTCCAGCTCAGGATGTTCTATGGTTCTGTGACATTGGCTAAGCCCCAGGTACTAATTGATTTCAGACTGTAATTACCCCTTATCACCATGGAGTTATACTGACCAAAGGATGCTGGTTATTCAGTTCCTACAATTCCTCACACTTAAGCAAGTTCTTACCCCCTACACTGGGGAGGTGAATGTACTATGGGAAAGAAACCTTCCCATAAAACTTAGCCATATCCACATGTTTAGGAGAAGTACCTATTGATCTGAAAGCATCCATTCTCATCAAAACCAAATTAACCAGCTATAACCATCCAAATTTGCAGTTTAAACTAATTCCAACTTCTCCCAAGGATTAAAAAGGTGAAAATGACTGGAAATTAACCAGTAACAGGATGTGGCTTGGCATGGTGAGGTGATGCAGCTTTGCTCCATCTTGGTGTGACTCAGTAACCATGGAAAAATGTGACTGAAGTCTCTGTTTAAATTTGGAGGTAACTAATCTAGGGCTATTTTTGTAAGTAGTTTTTCAGTGCAGTGGCCAAACTTAAAAAAAAAACCAAAAAACTGAGACAAAACTAAAATTTTTGGTCTATCTCCCCCAAAGGAAATACTGAAACAGTCTGTCAGCTACATATAAACATCAGTCTGAGAGAAAATATTTCATCCATGTAAGAAAAGCAGGGAAAATGAATGGGTGAATTCAGAGGACTGGAGAAGTTAGTGATAATAGTTTTGTTTTCCCCCAAAATTCAAAGCAGTTATTCATAACATAGGAAAGTGGCAACATAGGAAAGTAATTCATAACATAGGAAACTTCTAGTTGTGAGGAAAGAAATCCAAATCCCTCAGCTCTGAGGTGAGGGCCTGTCAGGACATAAGAGTACTCCAAAGTGCTCTCTTGTTGGCACTGCTAATGTACAGTAAGTGTTCAGTGAGACAGGGAGAAGGGAGGAGAATTCATACTCATTCAGTGATGGGATGTATAGATTTGAGCTCCTGTTTGTTTATACAGAATAAAACATTAATTCTTTCCCATTTCTTTTCCCTACCCTCATTGCTTCAGAAGCTGTGGTTTGGATACTGTCCCTGGAAAGTTAAAGATGCATGCTCAGAGCTCATTAAGGGGAAGAAGGAAAGCTGTGTCCCTGCACACTGGCAAGTACCTTAAATTAGTAACTAAAACGAAGAAACCTCTGCCAGGTTTGTTGATGTGGCACGGAAAAGTAAGAAGTACATTTATTAACTTCCCAAAAAATTTTGCTCAGTTCTCAACTGTGAGGCTGTAAAAGTGAGGAAAGGCATTTCACCCACTAATCTCATGCTTACATTTGATTGAAACAAAGAACCTATATTGACTGGAATAAATAAAAACAATCTTCCACCATGGAAAAAATTAGTTTCTTAAATCTGACTCACAACATTTCTTTCTTGTTGAGACAATTACAGCTATCTAATATATAGCTCTAAATTCTCATTAAAGGATAGTATAAAAGCTATCAAGCAATTTATTACAATTATATATGATTTTCCTCTCTTCAATGTAGGTCCCCCATGGTTTCTTTAAGGTTTTCCATTTAACGTTGTTACAAGCCATTTCTCAGAACATGCTTCCAACATCCATATCCATTTTCTTTCAATACAGCAGCACTAGAACTTTAATGCAATTCAAACCTCCCCTCTTCAGCTACTTACCTGGTCGATCCTTTATACTATACAGCATCCCAATCTTCGCAGATAAAAGTCCTTCATTGTATGGAGTGTTATAGTTCTTCATGTAACAGCTTGGGCAGGAAAGGGGGTCCTCAGTTTGTGAAAGCAGATGTTCACCTCTTACCTTTATTCACAACATTGCAATGTTTACTGCTCAGGATTACAGATCAATTACTGGAAAATTGCTTCCCTTTGCCAACAGAAGTCTCCCGAGGCCCATGACTGGAAACAGTTTTGACCGTAGGCCACAGTATTTAAAAAATGAACTGCCATGATAAACTGCAGGCAAGTGATCCTCTTACCTCTTCCTTTAGCCACTCATTCTCTTCAATCTCTCTGCGACAGTTTTTATCTAAGTATCCCACAGCTTTCTGAGAAAACACAATTTAAGATCATCTCATCTGAGAGCAGAACTTTGACAGTCCTGCATACTATAAAGAAGAACCTTCTGCTCTTTCATAGGAAATAATTAAGAAACATCCACACAACAGACTGTAGCATCCCCTGAGGGATTACAAGGGGATTTAGTTCACAAGGCCAGATGTGTCTCCTCTATCATCCTGCCTAGAGCAGATTATATGTCAAGCAATTTACCAATATTTTTTGATTTCCCATATTAAAATAGGACATTTCCCTTTTTGCCTAACAATTTCTTCTATGTTCCCAGTGCTGCTCAAATCTTATTGCTTTCAGAAAATCAAACCTTCAGCAATCAAGAACCCCAAGTAAAATCCCAAATGAGTGACCTAAGCACATAGAGGTCTGTGCTAATGAGACAAGGCTACAATTTAATTATTGATGTCAGTAAAGCGGGAAGGAAGAACTGGGAGGGAAGATGCCCCTGTAGATCACCATAAACACAGGGCTCTGGATTATGTTCTCACATGACTGGAAATTCCAGCACTGAAGTCAGGGAATTTAAACACCTAATGGGCCCAGTGGTTTGTACTGAAGTATGATTTGCATTTTGTGAAAGTAAGAAGCTGTCACTAGAGCTATTTCTAAACCATGTTTTCAAATCAGAACTGGCAGAGATGACAAATAAAATAGTGAATCAGTAAACCTATATTTTCCTGAGACTGCACTATTGTGGCATTTTTAAAATGTTGTACTTTACAAATACAGTGAAACCTTTTTTTTTTTTTTCAAATTGATGTATATTTTCATGCAATTTCTTTGTATGTTACTACTTTTTGAAGTCTGTGAAAATGTCAAAACCAAGGCCATGGCAAAAGCAATAGTTCTCAAGCAAGCCTTGTCAGTGCATGGTGCCCCAGTTTTCCGTGCCTTGTTTGTAAAATGCCCTCATGTCTACCCATTGTTATTCTGATAGAAAGAAAAAAAAGGTACATGCATGCATAGCAATAACCAAATCCAATACCCAAATCCAAGATTTACAGATTATTTTACTCTCAATTTATTAGAAAAGTTTGAAGTCTCAATATGAGTTAAAATAATAATGCAGAGTACATGTATCCCAACTATAATGCAGTTAGCAGTTTTCTGAAAAAGCAAAAAAGAATACCTTAAGAGCTGCTTCACTGAGCAACTGCATGTGCCGATCAAACAGTTTCTGATTTTCTTCTTTCACAACCTTCAAAGCTTCTCTATAATATTCTTCAAAATAAAAAAAAAAAAAAAAAAACAACAGGGAAATCAGAAATCATTATTTGACATCAATTTTTCCTGATAATAGATAGATAACTGGCATGTCATTACTAAACTGGAACTTATCAGTGAGTATCACCTGCACAGATGCTCCACAGAAAAAGATTCAAATATCCTTCTCCACAGTAATTATCCTCCTAAACCCAAAGAACAGCAGTATTAAGTATAAAACTAGAAATTGGAAGTGGCTTACACATTTCTGTTGACAACTGCAACAGCTGAGCAATTCACTGCTAACTGAGCAGTGAGCTAAGCAATTCTCTGCAAAAATACTGGCATCTTAATATTAAATTTTATCTCTATCAATAGCAGAACTGTTGGAGCCATGTGAGAGATTTGCTTCAAAAATTTATTTTTTGCATATAGAAGCTATTGGATCACCTTATCCACATGACATTTTTTTCAGATAGTTCTTATAATGTGTCTAATATATTTTCTCTTATCTAAGGCTCTAAGGTTCTAATTTGACAACAGGACAAAATGGAGAATGTGGCAACTGCCACAATTATTTGCTTCTATCATTACTTGTGATCATTATTTAGAAAGTGTGTCTTACATTGAATTGAATAGGTTTGGCTTCATATTCTAGTCACTTGCTATTTAATTATTTCATCCTTCACTTATTTTTTTGTTGCTCTTCTAAATAGCCCACTTCTGCTTGATATTTCCTCCTTTTGAAGGAATGAATGAGATTATAGTAAATTTCTTTGAAGTAAGGCACTACACACTTATTCCAAAGGGTTGAAATTCAGTCTTTCACTGCACTTGTGCTGCAGACTGCCTATTTCTGATGTAGCTGTAAATGAATATCTGCTCATGGATGCACTGTGGAGTCAAAAGTAGTGAAATAGGAAAGGTGTATTAGTTGTGCATTAATTATTAATTTAACATTGTGGAAGCTGGACCCCATCATTTAGACTTGGCAGAACGAAAAGGAAGTACTTCCATATTATAATGAATTCATTCTTTCATTATTTCAGACAGCTAAATAACCTGTGTTGCACTTAGAGAATGAAAATGGAGAAACTGTATGTCTGAACTGCTCCTAAAGAGGCTATCTTCCCTAATCCTTTCACTGCAACGTCACCTGAACGTGTGGCTCTCTCTTATTCCTCTCCTCTCCAGCAGTTTTAAAATGTCACCACCAGACAACATGAACTATGCTAGTTTCAAGCCCTACCGTGGTACACACAGAGACAGAAACCTGTTCACCTATGCTTATTCTCTAAGCCTGTTACACATTCAAGGTGTGAACAAGCCCAATTTGTTGCTGCCTTGCTCTGAAAGCTTCTTAGATTCCCACTGGCAGGCTGTACTCCCCAGACTAGGGGAATTTCAAGGTTCAGTTTTAGGGAGTTAAACAAAATAGTCTGGTGAACATCCAGTACTGGCAGCATCATTTTCCAGTATGTTATGTAGGCCACTTACATATGTACCACTATAATATGACTTTGAATAAATACACTTTTGTTGTACCATGAATTTTCATTAAACCCCGACATTCTGTACCCTATAACATGCAGAAGGTCAGACTGCCTGTCCCTGCTGGCATTCTATGTAAAAGACCATACTCTTTTTCATTTCCTATTTCAGCAGCTATATAGCAAAGTTT